TCCAGGGTGAATTTCATATGTATAATGTGTAAATTCATTAGATTGTAATATTCATTAGATTCATTAGATTGATTTGTAATATTCTATCCAGTCAGTATCAGAGTTTATAAAGATTTTATCCAATAATAGTCTGCAATAAAATATTTTCAGTTAAAATCATAATGTGTAAAGGAATTGAGTAATTTATATGACAAAATTGCGAGTTAAGTGGCAAAACTAGTGTTTAACTATAATAGTAACACCTTAAGAGCAAAGCAAACTACAACATGGGTATCGTAGAGCCTAACTACTTACTCGTAAGTAAGTATTGGATGACAAATTAACAATGCCCGTCTTAAACAATCAATTTGTGTGCTCTTTGATTTGCAGGGTTGTCAAAAGTAACAAAAAATGTATTTCACTCAGAATTCTCATTTTTGCAAAGTTAATCACATAAAAATCGATTAATGTCTTTAAAAATACGTTTTTAGCTCGATAATAAAAATTCTGATTCAATACCAAAACTAAGAAAAAACTATCATAAATCGTCATTGTAATCAAATAAATGTTTACGGTGAAAAAGTGATGCAGAGCTTTTCTTAGAATCATTACGAAGGAAAATCGTAATCATCCCAAATCAAATTAATGAAAAGCATAACTCACTTTCTTTGTAACAAAAAACTAACATAGGTACCTAATGTTCTGAATGTCATTCTAGCCCCTTAGACAAAGTAACATGAGATAGTAGGTACATACGAAAACGCTTCGCCCTAGCGTTTAGAAAGCCTCTTTAGTGTAACTAAGCCTTGAAGCGATTGCAAAATCAAATCAGTCACGTATACTTTGTATTTGGGATCATTATCAAATTCAAGTATCGTCTTCCCTGACACATCGGTCGTCTACATTATCACGCACGTTGACTGACGTATGTCATCTGATGCATCTGACAACCCTGTAACCGACGCGTGCGCATCAAAGCACTGCAATCACGCCAGCCGGTCACGTTCCCTTTATCTGTCATTATTGACAATTTCTTTAAACGCCGACGGTTGTCCACTTATTTGTAAACCACTTGACAGTTCTTGGAAACAGACAATAAGGCAGATTCCTGTTGACTTCCGTTTGAGGAATGTGGTGGATTACAATGACCCCTCCCCCCACCCCTATAATACAAGACCTTCCCCCTATTTTCAAGTTTATAAAACAGTTAGAAGACAATTAAGGTGCGCGCTCACAGCCCAAGNAGTGTCTCTCTTTCACTATACCTACTTATTACTTAATCATAATACTGCCACGGTGACAAAATTTTAGGTACTTTCAGACCTGTCAAAGTTTTCTGTATTAAAGACTTTTTTTTTCGCCCGTAGTCAAATTACCTTATAGTCTATAATAGCTAAAAGTCAGATAAAATAAAAAAAAATCATGAATCAAACTATTATAATTGATATTGATACAGCCTTGGTTAAGAAATTTAATAGCTGGTTCGTTTTATAACGAGTAAAATCCGTCCATTAAAACTAGGAAAACTAGGTATTCACAAATAGCAAAATCTGCATGCTTTTCATGATTCTATCATTTCCTTAAGGAAAATCATAGATTTCCTCTACAACTGTTTAAACAGCTAAATATAAAGACCAAAAAGTAAGTTTAGAATTATATTATGAACTAGCTTTATGCCCACGGCTTCGCCCGCGTGAAATTTTGACTGTCACAGAAAAACAATATCGCGCGCGTATTTGCTCACCGTTTAGATCTACCCTGGACTACGACAAACATTTTAAAACCAAAATCAGCTCAATCGGCCCAGCCGTTCTCGAGTTTTAATCAGACTAACGAACATCAATAATAATTCATTTTTATTTATACAGGGTGTTAGGTAAATGGGTATATGAGCCGACACTAATCCATGTTAACATGGTCATATAAATGGTATGGTGAAGTAAGAAAATTGATATCTTCATTTTATATAGTTATTTAATTTTTAGCGTTAAGAGTCGCATCTCAGGAAGGTAGGTATTTATAATTTTCAAATCTTCATTTTAATTATTTTAATTTTCATACAAATCGGATTTTATGATTTTTTTTTGTATGAAAATTAAAATGATGAAATCAAATTTCTGACTTCACCATACCATTTATATGACCATGTTAACATGGGCTAGTGTCGGCTCATATACCCATTTACCTAACACCCTGTATAGATAGATAATTCAAAAACACTTCCAAATTAAGACTGTTTTTTTTTTAAATTCGTGAAATGACATAGTTCTCGTAGATTACATAATTACATTTGAGTTTTCAGGAAAAATGCTCTACCTGAAAAAATTTAGATCATAGGTACACTTACATAAGTGACGTCAATGAAACACAAAACTCTTTAAATGTAGGAAGTGTGCTATTTCAGCTCTCATCAAATTAGTTACAAATTATTATGTAGGTATTAAATTAAGCGTTAAACGACGATTACTATGCAGATAACCTTCTGCATAATGTTACTCTATAACAAATAACAACGGCATGTGTAGCTAAACTCTGTGCACCTTATGTAAAAGNGGTAAAAGGTGACTGACTGACATAGTGATCTATCAGGGCACAGCCCAAACCACTGGACGGATCGGGCTGTAATTTGGCATGCAGGTAGATGTTATGACGTAGGCATCCGCTAAGAAAGGATTTTACGAAACTCCACCCCTAAGGGGGCATAACGGGATCCACGCGTACGAAGTCGCGGGCGGCCGATACTTGCTAATTAAAGGGACTTCATACAATTAGATACAAAGTATAGTGGTGTGATAGTAATTATTGAATCTTCGGAAGTGGGAAATATTTTCCCTATAAATAATTATATTAATCTCAGAGATAATAGTTAATTGCAATAATTGACTGGTTTAATCTAGTGGCGTACTTAAAGGAGAGTACAGACTAGAGTATTTACTTGTTACAGAACAACTAACCGCTCTATGAAATGTTCTAGTGTCCTTGTCAGTCCCTTTCCTGTATTCCCTTTTACATGTATTGTACCATTCGTAAGAACGTTATATTACTTAGAAATGCTCTAGCCTATACTCACCTTAAGCTTTATTTATAAGTAAGAACCAGTCATAAATGATTTTGTTTATTTTTTTTCCAATGTAAATATCAACGTGAAATTGTGAACTCTGTCAGTTTATAATATAACGCGTTAGATTGTAAACTAACAGTGGGTTAGGTTAGGTTAGATTGTAATTTAACTACGTCAGATTATAATCTGACGGAATTCACAATTTTACGGTGACATAAACATAAAATAGATTAGAAACTACTTACAAAACGATATCTATCTAAATATTCGCCTAAGATTTCTATCATAATTAATTACATTTCCTTTCTTACAAATAGTAATTTAATTTTGTGATCTACATTAATTTTAAGAAAGTCGATTTTTCAAATTCTTTATTTGGTACTCCTTAATCTGCGTATACCAAATATTTAAAAACAAATACTGTAGTTTATTAATAATCCATTATTATCATTGAATAGACGTTGATATAATAGTCGTTTTTAAATCCGGAAAAGGGTTACGTCATAATAATAATATTTTATTATAAGAGCCATAAAATAATTTTATTACCATATCATAGGCGAAAAGAAGAATTTATGGAACTATCAAAGCCAATTATAAGGAACTATCCGAACAAAGATATTGTGAATAACATTTAATCACGAACTATAGCAATTAATTCAAAACCAATCAAAGTGAATAAGAAAAGATGAATAATCAGGAAAAGATCGTGTGAACAGAATCATGGGTATTGTTATATGATATGGTTAACTAAGTCAATCGGATATACGAGTAGCTACCTATCTTTCCCTAGTTTTTAGAGTTAAGTGGTACTTATAATGTCTGTACGTAACCATAAGAAGGCTGAGTTGAACCACCTAACTTTGACCTATAGCTATAACGATAACCGGTGTTTTTGTGTGGAGTTTGACAGATTTTTGACGTTTGTTAATGTTAAAGTAAGATGATGCAACTCAGTCTTATTTGCTCTATTTATATTTTAAAACTGTTTTATGCAATGACGTTTCATAGATTTATGTAGTCACTTCAGCCAAATGACGTCCACTGCTGGACAAAGGCCTCCTCCAAGGTTATCCTCAATGAACGGTCCTGCGCTGCCCGCATCCAGGCTCTTCCCGCGACCTTTACCAGATCGTCGGTCCACCTAGTAGGAGGCCTGCCTACACTACGATTTGTGTAGATTTCGTCATAAATAATTATCTAATCGCAATTTAAAGAACGTAATAATTAGCCGTGATTTCTTTTATTTACCAATTTCATTATCAATGTTCCACTCATTAACATACCATATCTAAATCTTTCGACGCATTATTTATTATTCTATGCTGTAACTAGTAATTTCTACATAATAGCTGTATCTTAATCTATAAATCTATTGATATTACTCGTTGAATAGAATAGAATTCATGGTACTTTGGCGTTTATTTAACTGTTTGTCTAGTGAAAACTATTTGGAACATAAATACGATACGACAAACTTTCAAGAAGAGAGCGCATCTTCACTTTAAAGGCCGGCAACGTAACGTGTCCTGTAACGCCCCTGGGACTGCAGGTGTCTATGGGCGACGGTATAATCACTTACCATCAGGTGATCCGTTTTCTCGTTTGCCTCCTGTCACATAAAAAAATGCTTATACTTAGAACACATTATATCGTTTACAAGACAAGAATAGAAAAAAAAAATACACAAAACAAACTGTATAATTTAGGCGGTTTTATCGCTATGAAACGATCTCTACATGTCAAATAGAGGACAGTTGTTTAGAATAAGTAAAAGGGAAGGCGGTGAACGATTTTTTACTAAAGAAAAGCCTACTTCAGTTAAATGGCAGGATCGATTTTCTAAGCTCTGCTTTTTCTAAACCCTGACCTATAATATTATTCCGAAACAGTAGGAATATTAACGTTAAAAGTAATCTAAAATTTCCATGGAAATTAATTTCGTATTCCGTCTTTCCAGATGATATCGGCGGGGACTCCACTTACAACATGGCGTCCATAAACTCTAGCGGGGAATTGAAAAGCCCCGGGGACCCCCCGGACAAGAAGGTAGCTGACGTCGATGCTGAAAAACAACCACTGTCCGGGGTAAGTACTTTGAATTTACCCTTAATTTCGTGGGAGAACGTTATGAGACCGTGGCCTAGCGGTTTAAGTGGTTTGACAACGATCATGAGAGTTAAGCAGCTTTCAGCTAGGCCAGTTTTAGGATGGGTGATCGTTCGGTAGAAATTACTTGAAGATCCTGTCATAAAGGTCTCAAGCAATCGTTCTTGGTTATAGGACGCTGAAATTAAAATTATTAGTATGGTAGGGAGGGAGCCATTTCAGGACATATAAACATGTTCTAAATATTATTATACTTAGTTTGCACTATCACCACTTCAAGGCAATGTTGGCTGGTGCTGAGAAGAAGTGGCGGAAGAAACTCAAGTCACCTTAGCCAAAGTAGGAAGCCTTTAAGCCCTGACGTAGGTATCGTAAATATTACTGTCAGGGTCAGTTTCCACTGGTTTAAAAAAAAATAGGCTTTTAGTTAAAAAATAATGAGAACTTTGATTCAGAGCGAATATTCGTTTCGCTCCGATATTTAGATGGTATAAATATCCTTCTGAATGTAGGTAACACAAATTGCAACAGACTTTTGTACGACAATGTTTATTGTTTTCAATAATATTTAATCTGATTGACTCTTAATGCAAAAAACAATTAACCGGACATTCTTATCAAACAAAGTCCGGTATGAACTAGTCTCGTACCAATCTTCGGGTTCAATAACTGATACGAACCTTCGATATAATCGTGCTTGTAATTTAAATCATTGCAATAACTCCATGTCGTAGACAATTGTCGATAAATTAATCAATTTATCGATACTATCTCACAGTGACAGACATGATAATGCAACGTATTTGTTACTGTTCAATGTGTCCATAAATTTTACTTCGTCTTCATTATCATTAATGGGTTTTTGTTTGTCTGATGTGAAGAATGATCTTGGATGATACCTACTAGGGCATTTCTACGGGGACGACCGATCGACCTACTGGGGCGAAAAAAGTACCTTTAAAATTGAAGTACGGACTTGAAAAAAATCACACGTATTTATAGGACTCTTGACTTGATGGAGAGCAAATTTAGAAGACCGCCAGGTTTTACATCTCGCCTTGAAAAAATCCGAAAGTTCAAAAACGGGCGAAATTTGGCCTAAAATGGAGTGTCCGGTTTCCAGAATTTACTCGTTTTTGTNAAAACCCCGGTTGAACGTGATATATATTGAAACAAACGTAGATTTTTGCAACGACTGTGTTTTATTTCTCATGCTACCATAAACAATATTTATTTTGTTACAAAGAAGTTCTAATATCAATACCCCCACTTAACAAAATAAACTTATTAAATTCAAACTGTGTTTCATTTAATTAATCATGACAAAACCTATTGCATTAGTCAGTTGTAACGCCTAATAAATGAAGAAACCTATAATGCTTACACGACATTAATCCCATTGTCAACAAGTCAGCAGGCATCTCATTTGAACACAAATATTTAATTTCAATAATCTCATTACAATTTCTAACTTGCCTGTAAGCTCATAAATTTATAGCCTCTCTAGCAGCCTATCCATATCTATAGTTTTACAATCTGACATTTGGAACTTAGACAATAACTGCTCTATATATTGAAGCTGATCTACAGTTATTACATTGTTTTCTCTATCAACATTAACATTCATGCCCAAATAACGTTTGACAGGTCCTAAGTCTTTCAACTTAAATTCTGAACCCAACATATTTGCAATCTATTATTAGAAAATATAAGAAAATCATCAACATACAAGCAAATTATGATTTTAACATCATCATCAAATTTTGTAAACAAGCAAGGTTCAAACTTACTAATATTTTACTCTTTCATACCATGCTTATAACTTATGGCTTCCACAAAATCTATCTCCTCCATATCTGCTGCACTGCTAGTGCATAGATTTGTGAAACCATACTTTTGTGGTGGTCTCCTCTGTCTCTTCGGCCTGGTATTTGGAGTCTGAGTAACTGGATTCACATCTGAAGTACTTACTGCTTCTCCACCATCTGCACTTTCTGAAGATTGTGAGACTGTAGTTACTGTGGTTGGACAGTTCAGGGATTCTTGTTGTTTCACATCCCCCACTGAATCCCTATCCTCTGCACACACCACAGCTTCATCATTATTCAGGACCCAGATATTGTTGGAATCTTCATCTGAATCTGTCAGTCCTGTCTCTCCTTCCATCACAATAACATCTCTGCTGGTGTATACTGCATTCCTTTTCGGATCATAGATGCGGTATCCTTTCACATTCTCGGAAAAACCCACAAGTATCTGTCTCTCCGCTTTTCTATCCCATTTCAATCTGCGTTCTTTTGGGATGTGGACCATTACGGGACTTCCAAATAAACGAATGTGACTTAAGTCAGGTTTTTTGCCATGCCACGCTTCATATGGTGTCATATTTTTCAAGCTTGAAGTTACACATCTGTTCTTCAAGTAAACAGCTGTGTTAGCTGCTTCAGCCCAGTACTTTTTCTCGAGTTTTGCATCAAACAACATGCACCTGGCCTTTTCAATGATGGTTCTGTTGGCTCTCTCACTCACTCCATTTTGTTCTGGCGAGTAGGCATTCGTTCTTTGATGAACTATTCCATGGGTCTTCAAATAGTTCTCAAATTCTCTACTACAAAACTCACCNATTAATTATTGAAATACATTAGGTATTTCTTCATAATGTCATCAATTCTAAGTTTGCGGAGCGATTTTTATATTTGGAGATTCATTTCTCAATTCCGTGATTCATTTTCTCAATTCGGTGCTCTCTCAATTCGATGCTTAACATTTCTCATAAACCACTTCACAATATTTAGTGACAATGCTATTTTTACATTCAGAATGGAGTAACATTTATTTTTTTGTATTGAAACTAGTTAAAAAACTAAATATAAATTTTAGCACCGAATTGAGAAAAAATACACCGTACAGTAGAAATGCCCACTACATGTTGTATATAGTTCATGTCCTATTGTTATACTATTTTTGATCGTTTGTGGATAGTCAATGGGATAGTGATTTTATCAGTCCATTTTAATGACATCGATTCTCTATGTCCCTAAGTGCCACATAAAATATAGTAACTATAGTAAGTGCCTAACTAGACAGTCACTTTGGATATCTACATATTTGAATTCGTTTTGAAGTATACATGTACTTACTGTAATGTATTCAGGGACGTAGCGAAGCGATCACAAATCAAATGTATACCGTATTTCACATTGTCTAAAGATATAATGTTGGTGAATGGTGATAATGTCTAACCTCAAATCTTGTTCATAACTGGAAGGGGCATGAAATACTAATAAATTTATTTTTGTTTGTAAATTCTACATGATAACCATTTCACACCAAAGATATACTAACTGGTCTAGGTTGTAAGATCCTGAGGTTTGACGCTGTTTCTGTGAGTATCCACTCTGCTACGAGTGTCCATAAAGGGTCTCCCCACCTCTCGTACCCAACGCTGCAACTCCTGTGTAGCCAGGATCTACAGCTTGACCGCCAATAAAAACCAACCAGTGAAGGTCAAGTTTGTCCCGGTGGAAAGCTAAACTGCCATTGGACCCGCAACGAAATTAATCAGAAGAACATAGGTCTGTGTCCATAGTCATCTGTATCAACAGGCATTAGAGGGAGAAGGAGATAATTCGGAGGGCTCGGAGACAGATGAAGAGGCGAATATATGCGAAGCAGAGGAAGAGGGCAGCAGAGAAGCTAGTATCAACGTAAGTGAGGGAAGTGCCCATCATAAGAGCAGTTCCACAGTCGGTTTTTGAATTTCACCAATGACTGGTGCCAATGGTTCAAGTCCATACCATGGAATGACGTACCCGTATTCACAAACATTACTATGAGGTCTTGCAGAACGCGTGGACGCACAGGGTGACATACGAACCAATCACAGAGCTCCATTCAACGCTGTGCGTTCGATTTGCTGCTTCACTTAAGCAAGCATCGTTTGTGAATACGGGCGTGAGTGTAATACTTAGCTAGAATCATGAGCCCGATCTGAATTGAGATTTTTAACTTGAGCGTGCTCATCTTCTTTACATTACTTTTCTTAAGTTCATACTTAAGTAGAAATCAAATTATGACATCAAATATTTCCAGTTAAAATTAAGATTTTTCAATATTTCTGAAATTATTAACACTAAATATGCATGCCGAATTAATAAATAAATAAATGTTTGTAAAACACAATGTTGCTGTGCCCAAACCGGGTCTATGTTTGAGACTATACAATATATTGTTTAAGACCTTATGTACAACACAGAATGCAATAAAGATATTGAATTTGAATTTGAAGGCCTAAGTCTTTAATCAATGCTTGAGTATGAAATGAGTTTTGAGGGTCTCTTCTTAATAGAGCTTAAACCATTGCCCAAAACTCAAGTTAAAGAGATCTCAAAAGTATCTAGCAAGTTAAGACCAGTGTGCCTACCATGAGTTTACGTTAGGTGAGTTCGCTAGCGAATACGTCAAAAAATTCTATGAAGGTCTTATTTCTTGAAAGTAGCCACTAGGGGCGCTGCACAATATGTCATACATTTAAATGTCATTTTTTTACGCAGTCGCTAGCGAGCACACCTAACGTAAACTCATGGTAGGCACACAGGTCTAGCCCATAACTTAGCCAGTGCCTGAGGTATGAGAGCGGCATGGGAGGGGTGACATTGACATAATACACTCAACATCAAATAAACCGCACCTTCCGCGACGCGAACTTTAAAGATTTTCTTCTGACACAATCATGGTACCCCAACAATATTGGTGTTGTTTGAAAGCCCAATAAATATCCTCAAAGAAAAATACATTTCATTTCTAAATAAATGATTAACATTTACCATAAATGTGACTTGAAAATAGACCTCACTTTGGGCTCACCTCTGGGATCAATTAGAATAATTTTTATGGTTATAAAACCAACTAAAGATCTCACGTGTCCTCTTTAACAGATGGATAGCGATTAATCCCAACTTAACAGTTTTAAAGTCATAAAAAATGGCTATAGCGTAACTACCTATTTTTTGAAGAAGTGACTCTGGATCCTTGTAAAGACACATTTTTGGGGTAAAAACCTTTCCTTTAATGAAATGAAGTAGAACTAGGCTTTCAAATGGTACCAATGTTGGTGGGAAGTGGGGATGCATACGTTTGATAAGTGCTTGTCGCGGGAGGTGCGATTTATTTGATGCCGAGTGTATTATGACGTGACAGAGCATATAAATCTGAAGTTTCGCTAACGTTTGACGTTACAAAAATCCCGGGCCTCTCCCATACCTCAACCACTGACTATAATTTCATATTTCTTAGACACTTTCTATAGAATAAATCAAATCAAATCAAACTTCAAAAAAGTCACTTAATTTTCTTTTTCCATAACAAATCTAGTGAATTCAAAAATCGACTGTGCTCTACCATTAGACCTCCAATTTGGTGCACCGATGGCACACCGCGCAGTATGGCCGCTACCTCTACATATAATAATATGTATGTTGTACGTCGTATACATGATATCATCATATACATATGATATACATGTCTTATTAAGCTATCACAAGTGTAACACCCGTATTCACAAACATTACTATGAGGTCTCACAGTGCGCGTGGACGCACAGGGTCACACACGAACCAATCACAGTGCTCTATTCAACGCTGCTTCATTTAAGCAAGCATCGTTTGTGAATACGGTGTAAGTACACTCACTGGACACTTCAGGGAGCGTATATGTTATGTAATTGTGTGCTTCTGTCAACATTGTATCCATCCACTTAAAATTACAATCATGGCCAAGGAATTGCAACGCTTTTTAATCATTAATCATAATCGCTAGTAAAACTACTATTAAAAACCTTAATTTTACAAGGGTTTTAGTGTAATATTTAGAGATTACTAACCAACTATTAGGTATTAGGATTTACAATACAAGTCTTATTTTATTGATAAAAATCAATGTAATCTCCCTATTTCCAATGAATAGGCAAGATTTCTAATCAACAAATCTCTCAATAAACATATTTATATTTACAACTAAACTATTATAACTAACATTTATTGATCGGTCATAGATGATTATGATGCTTAGATCATTATCGATTATTTTGTAATTTTTATTGTCATTTACACAGAGACATTTTTTTACACGATGACAACAAATTTTGCCACTGAGTGTAACTAGGTGGTGCTACCATTCATGATATAAATTTGTCATTTTTGCTGTCATTCATACAATGTTATTTTTTATTTAAGGTAGCCTTTCGAACTAAGCGTCACACTCGCAGCGTCTTTAGCTTTGGTCTTGTGCCACCAAATCCGCGTCACTATCTCGCTTCGAAAGGCTACCTTTAAGACCAAAGCTAAAGACGCTGCGTCAGTGACGCTTAGTTCGAAAGGCTATCTTTAGGTAACTACGATGACAACTAATCTTGCCACTGAGTGTAGCTGGGTTGTACCACTCATGATATAATTTCTATTGTCTATTGTTCACTGAAGTGTTTTCCCCGAGACAGTCACCTTTGACGACAGTAAAACAACGTATTATAAAGGATAATGAAATTAAAAACCCCCACAATACATCTTTCTGACGTAAAGTTACGAGTAAGTAGGTATGTGCTAAAGATTGTCTGACACAATATTAGGTACCTATTTATACTAAGTACTTAATGGTCTGAAGAAAATCTTGCATTTTGAGGTCAATATTCAGAAAAGTGCTGAAGAATAAACTACTCACGAATTTAAGCGTTTTGTTGAACATTATTCAATTGTCTTTAGACATCAACCAAATCTTTATTTTTAGAAAATCCATGCTAATAAGTATGTAATAAGAAAATTTTCCAGTTCTGTTCTCTTTTCCTTTTAAGGCTTATACCACATTTTGTTGAAATTGAGTGTAGAGTGAATTTACGTGGAGTAAGCCTCTGGCAAAATCAGTACCTATTGTCCCTTTTCAAAAGTTAAAATAACTTACTTAAAGTATATATTATAAAATTGTTTATTGAATAAATAAAAACACTTACCCTTTATTTGATAATGTTGTCTGTAATAAACTTTTGCATTTCATGCTAAACCATGATGTAAAGATACGTCAAAGAAACCTTGTGTCTCGGTCATTAACCACCTATTATGTCAATGACATCCCAACTAATATTATAAATGCGAAAGTAACTCTGTATGTCTGTCTGTCTGTCTGTCTGTCTGTCTGTCTGTCTGTCTGTCTGTCTGTCTGTTACGCTTTCCCGCTTAAACCTCGCAACCGATTTTGATGAAATTTGGCATAGAGATAGTTTGAGTCCCGGGAAAGAACATAGGATAGTTTTTATCCCGGTTTTTGAAACAGGAACGCGCGCGATAAAGTTTTTCTGTGACAGACAAAATTCCACGCGGGCGAAGCCGCGGGCGGAAAGCTAGTATCATATAAAAACATCTTAGCCTATTATGTCAATCCTCAAGAGTAAACAGTTTTGATTGTTCAACGTAAAACCAGTAAAACCGAGTAACTCCATGATAATCTTCACAATTTCCGTCTTTTGAATAATGTTAAATACTTAAATAAGTTATTTGTCTCCTGCTAACTGATAAGGGTTTGCTCACTTGTTTGATAAAATCTATACAATATTATAAAGCTGAAGAGTTTGTTTGTTTGCTTGGACGCACTAATCACAGGAACTACTGCTCCGATTTGAAATTCTTTGGCTATACATTTATAACATCACCCTACAGTCTATAGGGGCGGAGCTGTAAAGAAAATGCAAAAACGAGAAAATGTATTATTCAAACTATTTTACGCGTACGAAGTCGCGGGTACAGCAAGTCTAAATATTATCGTTATATTTCGATTAGATTAGTGAAATAAAATCTGTTCAAAGGTCTGTCGATTGTATCTTAAGATGATACAAACACGTTTATACAAGCATTTTCTGCGGCTTCGCACGTTTAGATTTTGAAAATTAGTGTATAAATCTCTATATTACTATAGTGACACGATTACCTAGATAATACTTAACATACAACCAATAACATTTATTTTTGCTGAAAAAATCTTTGTAATAGAAACTTCCAGCTACTGGACGTTACCAGTCATTAGGCAAAACACCCCTTGAACTTCCATAATGAATAAAACTTCAAATACAAATCTCTGTTATTGTTGTAATACAAATGATATTTTTGATTCAATAAAGATCTGTCCATAACTCAAGAAGGTACATGCCTTAAGTGTTCAATTTTACTATAGTATGAAATATTTTTAACAGTTTTCTTTTATTGCGTAAACAAACAAACACAGAAATTGTTATTATAACACTTCTGTCAGGAAGGTATAATTTTCATAGATAACGTAATCTGAAGTAAATACAGCTCAAAAATAGCTACTCCAGATATCCAACAAATCTGTGCACCTAACTCCTAATCTACATATATCTACGTAATATCTTTTTAAGTCTATAAATATCTATAAAAATGCGTACTTACTGTATCTTTGTGACAGTTAAACAGATAGCGTTTATGTAACCTTTTGTTTTTCATGCTGTAAGAGGTTCCTTGCGATAAAATCCATATCTAATATTATAAAATGCTAAAGTATCTACCAAATAATATATACTTTTGTGAATTTTATCGTACTTAAATAGGATATGTAGATGGGACCTAGAATATGAATATTAGGGGATGAAAACTGTATATGAAATTCATTATTTGTCACCTTAGCGACATGAAAGCTCGTTATGCAATAAACGATTGAGTATTGAGTAGTTATGTAAATACTTAAATAATTGTTATACAGCCTGAAATTCACGCAAGCCTTATAGCTATATTTATTTATTTATTTATTAAGGTACAGCAAAAGATTGCAAATCATGGCTTTAAAAATAAAGTACATTGAACAAAGATAACAATTAATATAATTATGATAGCACTTAGTGGACATTATGACACCTATGGCACTTAAAAGTATGTTTTAAGTTATTATTGGGAAAAGAATTAGAAAATTAGTTCCAAAGGTTATTTATCTGATAAAATCAAAAAGAAATTTCTGTATTTTGTTAATATACTTTGGCGTTAAAATACATTATAGAACGCCGTTTCTACGATTTTTTTCTTTCAATTAATATGTACCTAACATTCTATTTTTCCTTCTAGAAAAAAGAAGAAAGATGGTGGAGCACACTGATGCAGGTGGCTGTGCCGTTCTTCATCGCCGGCTGCGGCACCATCGGAGCTGGTCTCGTGCTGGGAACAGTCAGGGTTGGTACATCATCAGACTTCGTAAATACTTCCTGAGAATAATGTAGTTACAAAAACACACACAGAAGATACATTAAAAGAAAACTGCTCCAATAGGTACGGGATCTTTCCATTATGGATCATCTTAAATCAAATCGAACATTTCTTATGCCCGTTTTCACTAATTTATAAGTGACCCCTATGAAAACAAAATTCCTGTCATGCACCTACTACCATAGGGGTCACTTAAAAATAGGGATAGATGGTGAAAACGGGCATTAGACTAATAAAATTAGTGCTTATGTCAAGCAAATTTTAATTAAAAAAAAGGCGCGCAAAAAAAGGCGCGGTCATCGCTATGTTGCGTGACACAGTCAACAAACTTTTTGTTTTATGCCTATGTTCATTAGAAAGAAATCTGATGGTGACAAAATTTTTCAAAAACCTTGTATCTAAGTATCTGAGTAAAACTGCTATTTATTGCAAAAAGTGGATGGTGCTATAGGCCATAAGGCATACCAATCACTGAAGGTCGAGTAAGTCCAGTCTGAAATCTGTAACGAAGTAAACCAAGGAATCAATCTATTATTTATCTTTCATAATAATACGTTCTTGCAGTTTTTTAGAATTAACTTTAAAGCCGAATAAATTGTGTCTCTCTGACTAAAAGTGGTAATCCACTTTCTTGGCCTACTCTACTTACGGGTATTTGTTTATTTAACTGGCAGATACACGATTATAACTTGAAACACTTAGAGAATAAACAAATCGAAATGTGTCAGCACAAAAATAAACATAAATGCAAAACTGTTATACATATAATATACAGGGTGTTCGGAATAGAGAGTCAAACACATTGAGTGTGTAGGTAGAGCCATTTTGATAATGCAAAATCGGCCATTTGATCCTATTTGAGCTACTTCTGTTAATGCTTTTTTTGTAGCTAACCCTCTTCCGATCATTCTGTATTTTAATATAAATTCAAACTCTGCTATAGACACTTAGAGAGAACTCTTTATTGTATTGTAGACAATCATTGTAAACAAAATTAATTTATAGCCTGACCAGGAACATAAAAACCCTGGCATAGAGGCGCGTCAATTGCATTTGATAGTGCAACACTGAGTACAGTCGTACCTGTGTTAAATTAATAGGCTAACTTTATGTATCAGGATTCAGAATTACGGGCTAATTTGATATTTTCATAAATTAACGAAAAAATATTATTATAGGTAACCTGGTTTAAATAAATTAAATGAAACCATCAATCGAGCTAGTAGGATTTATTTTATTATTCATCAATAATAAAATTCAGAACTTGAATATTCAACTGCAATGTCTGCTAAGAACGCTTCAAACTCGGTACTTCTTTCCCAATTCCATAAAATTCAACACTTAAAAAGTGTCAAAAAACTTTAAAATAGGTAGTTGAAACAAACCACAGCTAATTTTCATAGTTGACTGTACCATACGATAAACATGTCAGTCAATTTGACAACCTTTGTCGGAAACATTATTCAATGAAAATATTGTCCGAATCCTTAGTATTTCTCTTCGACAAATACTTTAACACATTGTGAACCACTTTTCTTTCACGACTATAAAAAGATTTTAGCAATTTAATTCACAAAATCAATTGCGCACATTTAAAATAAAGTTTGTTTACACTTTGACAGCAATAGACTGACATGCAAGGTGACATGTCAATGAAGTTTTCAGTTACTGTTGCCATTAAAAGAAATTAGTACCATTAGTTTTCCGCAACATGGCGAGGGTTTTTATGTTCCTGGTCAGGCTATAAATAACCAAAATGGACCCAATATCACAATTACCTAAGAGGCCAACGTACCACAGTTTCGTGTTCCGGGAAATAACTTCATGCGCTTTGTTCTAGGACTGGGACGTGTTCCTGAACGTGTCCGCCATCTTTGTTCTCGTGCCATCTCTCTCTGGACTTAAGGGTGAGTTTTTGTTTGTCTATGGTATATTTTCTACCATTTTTTAGTTTCCACTTCAAAATTTTCCACTTCGTACCTAATATTCGAATGCGCATAAAAACCAAATATGTAACAGAACTTCTTTTTGAATTTCAGTAGTAACGTAAATGTACTGAAAACACATTCGATTAAATCAAATCTGTTCATCGAGTTATTATGAGGAAAATTGCCTGTAACTTAACTCTATGTAGGTAGGTACAACGAATAGTATTTTCCTCCATTATTATAACTGTCACATGTAAAAAAAATATCTTCAAAGTTTCCTCAAACCACACAAAAATTGTAGCAAAAAAACCCCAGGTACAGTCAGCGTCAAATAGTTTGTTACACCCAAAGTACCCAAAAAGATCGCAAAGCGTCTTTGTTACCTACTTGGAATAAAGTAGTGTGTCAACTTTTTGGCCACTGGGTGTCACGAAGTATTTGACGCTCCACTTATTAATAATAATTTCACATGTGAAAAGAAAACAAGACCACATCAAAGTTTCCTTACCACATAAAAATTGTAGCTAAAAAGCCTAGGTACAATCATAGCGTAAAAAATTGTGAGTCAGTTTCCGTCCGCTAAACACATATTTCGATAAGAATCTGTCATTTTCTCAAAGCCCGAGTCATCGGAGCACACGTGTAATTGCTGTAGTTACTGACTGAGCGGCGCGTGCGCAGCGAGGCAAGGGAAGGCATGTGTGTAAACACATACTTGAATCATGTTATTAAACATTGTATGACAATATACTTAATTAGACTCATAAACATTTTATTGTATTGGAAACGCGAATATTGTCGTAATTTAGTCTCCATTGTAAGAGCACGACCCTTTGCAATTTATCTAATGGAGGATTTGCCCTACATACACTCCCGACGGTGGCCAAGACTCAAGTCTTAATTTATGTCGAGACTCATGGCACTTTTTGAGATACAAAGCATCTCGTAAACCTATTATTTTGACTTAGATGAATAGTGTATCAACTCAAAAAAATACAGTTTTCTCTAGAAAGCTTTAAAATCGAGGTTTCAATATAATAATGAATCGAGACACTTTTACTCTCTTTTACTCTTATGAACATTCCATAGAGAGTGAGAAAGATAGATATAGAATTTTCGAAGTAGAGCTTTAAAATTTAATAGTAGGTACATTTTCACAAAAAATGGCCGTTTAGATAGTTTTCTTTATACCTTTGTTTTTTTTTTCGGAGTTTTTACAGTTAGATACAACCAAGTTGCCTCGGGAGACAAACCGCTCAGTCAGTGCAAATAATGACATATCGCATAATAATACTCCCAATGATGTGCGGACTTGAAACAATCCGTTTAATACAGGGCTGTCACTACTGTCATCAATCATCAACATCTACCTCTACCTACTACCTATTGCTTGTCATGACAGGTACTGCTTCCTGTCTTTGTACCCACAATACTACGAGGGTTAAATTCGTTGGTGTAGAGGTGTATTAAATACACCTTACTTTCATTACCCTGATCATCAGGTCATTTAGTAAAAAACTAACCTCATAAAACTCATTTATTTCTGCAAATAGGCTTTAAAAAAGCACTTTTACACTCTCCACTGCAGGAGTTCGAACCTCTCTAATTTATCCAGACGCAAAATGAGGATGTTTAAACTGCCAGTTTTTAAGGCTCTAGTCTTAATTTTTTGAGTCAGATATCAGAATTACTAAAGTCTTAAATATTTGGTGGATCTCCTTAGCTATCGCTACTATATCCACCTTCATTGATATCTTTCTATCTTATTTGCATTCACCGGAATGCAATTAAGGGTATGAAAGGCAGTTTAAATCCTGAAAACCCTAGACAACATGACCTTCTCTATAATCCATGCGAGGTCAAACACTTCCCTCTTGCTTGCACTAACCTAGAGCATAACACATGCTGAATGGCTGCCGTTTTGGTTCAAATTGAAAAAAACTATGTAAGGCTGGTTTTAGAGTCACGCTGACGCACGCTGACCATCAGCGCTGACAGCCGAAATGTATGAAGCGTCGGCGCCGAGCGATCAGCGTCACTTAGGAACGTTCCTTTCAATTACATACATATTGATCTGTCAGCGCCGACGATCAGCGAGCTGTAAGCGTGATTCTAAAACCCGCCTAAGTACTTAAATTGATTTTGTAGTCTAAGGATTTTGGAATAAATAAAAAAAATCTTTCTCTCTTTCAAATTGCATGTTTTCATATTTTGTCAGTTCATTCAACCGTAACCATCATCTAAAAGACAAAAATTTGCGTACGCGCATACATTAAGGCAATAGTTATTACAAGGCTGCTCAGTGGTACCTCTTACAAATGTTTTTGGGTTATTAGATGTGGGAAAAACAAAACAATTTCAGCATTTCCGGTTCTATCTGTCTCTTTTGCTCATGAAAGTATTCCTTGCGTAAGAGGGAGACAGACAGAAGAATAATTGAGGCTATGCTTGGTGTCAACTGTGGGTAAACACATTATTTTGTATGGGATTTGAATGTTTTTACAAGGTATTAATGCAAAAAGGAAATAGTTAAAGCCATTAAAGATAGTGGGTATCTTTATAACATCGTAATATTTCATTATAAATCCATTTTCCCTTAGTTTTGAGTATGATTGCAAGGTTTATAATAATTTATGCGTCTAAAAAGTAAAAAAGCTTTTTTGTTATTTGAATTATCTTGGATTGACAGAGGTTAGGTAACTTAGAAGGCAGATAGGTTGGAATTACATACAAATTTTCAAAAAATCACTTACTAAAACATACTTATTTTATTTATTCATTACAAATGAATTTGTATTGTTGTTTAGTATAATAAAAGCAGACGCACATTGCACACATACTATTATGTGGGCAAGTTTTCCATATTTTGATTAAACACAATCTATTCAAGGTAGACATTGATTTGTGTGAAAAGGTGAATAATTGTTTTGCTATATAAACCCTATGCGAGTTCATTCGCCGTAAATATTTGCAATATCAATCATCATCATCATCATTTCAGCCATAGGACGTCCACTGCTGAACATAGGCCACTGCTAACATAATATTACGTCAAACGCTACAATCTAATATTAGATAAGTTACTTACATAATGCCTCATTGTGTAGTTCATGGTTAAAAAGGTTTCTAAGTATTTTCCGTGAATCTCTGCGATCTTCATGAAGACCAGGTCTTGTCAAACTAATTTTAGTACCCTGCTAGTTCTACGACCTAATAAATAAGCTAAAAGAGGCTAGATTACAATGCAAGATATTGTCATGACTCCTGCTTTCACTGAAAAAATGGAGGTTACAACTAACTACTAACTTTGGTTATCAGGGACAAATTGTTGTGTAAATTAAACAAATTATTTTAGTGATCTAACCCTGGTTTGATTATTAACACTGTCACTTTTTTGTGTAAGCAGTAACCAATACTATTTTTCAGTGTGTAGCGCTGTTTGGTAGAGACTTATGTTCATATGTAAACTGGAATTATAATGATAATAAAAATTAATGATCCTCTTTAATTTCAGTTTATATTATTATGCTAGATTAACTTAATACTCGTAGTACAAAAATGTCTTTACCAAATAAAGCCTACTTGGTAATTTCCATCCGTTATTTCGACATTCAAAACGCTTCTGTATTTCCCTCGTAATTACAATATTACTTATAATAAAATTTACTTGAGTAAACTAATTAAAGAACAATGTTTTGATAAGGTCTCAAACAACAGTGATAAGAACTTAAGAACGACATTGGCAGCTGTTTAGATATACCGTATTAAAACAATGGATTTTATATCGAAGGCTCACTACACATTTCATTTTAAACCTAGGTTTCCCCATAGCTGAAAACTTTTCAAAATCTTTCCAATATCAGACACTAACAACACATAACGCGACATCATAAAGGTAGCAGGAAGGTGCTGGATACAGGCCGCTACCAACCGGGCGATGTGCAACACATTGGGGGAGGCCTATGTTCAGCAGTGGACGTCCTGTGGCTGAAATGATGATGATGATCCAAAATTTCTGATGGAGAATCCGACAGTTCTTCGTATCACACTTTACAGACAATATCATAAAGTTACGATACCTAGCGGAAGAATATAATCTTTATGGACAATATAAATATTTTTTCCTATTAAAACTTTTTGTGTGTAGTTGTTAGGTAGACCACTCCCACTCTTCTCTGAAAAGGCAACTGGGAAATATACAGGGTGTTAGGTAAATGGGTATATGAGCCGACACTAGCCCATGTTAACATGGTCATATAAATGGTATGGTGAAGTCAGAAATTTGATATCATCATTTTAATTTTTTTAATTTTCATACAAAATAAATTTTATAAAATCCGATTTGTATGGAAATTAAAATAATTAAAATGAAGATATCAATTTTCTGACTGCACCATACCATTTATATGACCATGTTAACATGGGCTAGTGTCGGCTCATATACCCATTTACCTAACATCCTGTATATATTCGTATTCTAACATTAGGCCTCACCAACCCGTCTGGCCATGGTGAGTGTAGTCCAAATCCTCCATTTGCCTCTGGTAAATTACGGGACTATTCCCACCTCTCGTTCCCACCACTGCAACTCCTGTGTAGCCAGGATCTACAGCTTGACCGCCACNCTTTCTCTCTTTCAAATTGCATGTTTTCATATTTTGTCAGTTCATTCAACCGTAACCATCATCTAAAAGACAAAAATTTGCGTACGCGCATACATTAAGGCAATAGTTATTACAAGGCTGCTCAGTGGTACCTCTTACAAATGTTTTTGGGTTATTAGATGTGGGAAAAACAAAACAATTTCAGCATTTCCGGTTCTATCTGTCTCTTTTGCTCATGAAAGTATTCCTTGCGTAAGAGGGAGACAGACAGAAGAATAATTGAGGCTATGCTTGGTGTCAACTGTGGGTAAACACATTATTTTGTATGGGATTTGAATGTTTTTACAAGGTATTAATGCAAAAAGGAAATAGTTAAAGCCATTAAAGATAGTGGGTATCTTTATAACATCGTAATATTTCATTATAAATCCATTTGCCCTTAGTTTTGAGTATGATTGCAAGGTTTATAATATTATGCGTCTAAAAAGTAAAAAAGCTTTTTTGTTATTTGAATTATCTTGGATTGACAGAGGTTAGGTAACTTAGAAGGCAGATAGGTTGGAATTACATACAAATTTTCAAAAAATCACTTACTAAAACATACTTATTTTATTTATTCATTACAAATGAATTTGTATTGTTGTTTAGTATAATAAAAGCAGACGCACATTGCACACATACTATTATGTGGGCAAGTTTTCCATGTTTTGATTAAACACAATCTATTCAAGGTAGACATTATTTGTGTGAAAGGGTGAATAATTGTTTTGCTATATAAACCCTATGCGAGTTCATTCGCCGTAAATATTTGCAATATCAATCATCATCATCATCATCATTTCAGCCATAGGACGTCCACTGCTGAACATAGGCCTCCCCCAATATCAATAGAAAAAACATAATATTACGTCAAACGCTACAATCTAATATTAGATAAGTTACTTACATAATGCCTCATTGTGTAGTTCATGGTTAAAAAGGTCTAAGTCTTTTCCGTGAATCAATTTTAGTACCCTGCTAGTTCTACGACCTAATAAATAAGCTAGAAGAGGCTAGATTAAAATGCAAGATATTATCATGCATGATTTCACTGAAAAAATGGCTTGCGAACTGGAGGTTACTATATACTAACTACTAACTTTGGTTATCAGGAACAAATTGTTGTGTAAATTAAACAAACTATTTTAGTGGTTTGATTATTAACACTGTCACTTTTTTGTGTAAGCAGTAACCAAGACTATTATCAGTGTTAAGCGCCGTTTAGTAGAGACTTATGTTCATCTGTGAACTGGAATTATAATGATAGTAAAAATGATGATCCTCTTTAATTTCAGTTCATATTATTATGCTAAATTAATTTAATACTCGTAGTACAAAAATGTCTTTACCAAATAAAGCCTAGTTGGTAATGGGTAGTATTTAAACGAGTGACTGTAAATTTATGTTGTAAGTGTCAAAAATAATTAATGTGGGCTAAAGAATTACTAAGTGAGCGACTGAGTGCGAGTGACGAAAAATCAAAAGAACAGCAACTTGCAAAAAAAAATTGAGTTCCTTAAAATACAAAATGAGAAGCTTCATAATATTTGAGCGACCTAATATTTGATTGAGTGTCAACGTTAGGTCCTGCATTTTTTTCAATATTTGGCAAATGCTTTTTTTATACTGAGCGGTATTTTTAACTTTAATGAAGTGTTTCGAATGCAAAAACTACTTTGAAAAATACTATTATGAGCAGCGTATTATGAGCCNCATAGCTGAAAACTTTTCAAAATCTTTCCAATATCAGACACTAACAACACATAACGCGACATCATAAAGGTAGCAGGAAGGTGCTGGATACAGGCCGCTACCAACCGGGCGATGTGCAACACATTGGGGGAGGCCTATGTTCAGCAGTGGACGTCCTGTGGCTGAAATGATGATGATGATCCAAAATTTCTGATGGAGAATCCGACAGTTCTTCGTATCACACTTTACAGACAATATCATAAAGTTACGATACCTAGCGGAAGAATATAATCTTTATGGACAATATAAATATTTTTTCCTATTAAAACTTTTTGTGTGTAGTTGTTAGGTAGACCACTCCCACTCTTCTCTGAAAAGGCAACTGGGAAATATACAGGGTGTTAGGTAAATGGGTATATGAGCCGACACTAGCCCATGTTAACATGGTCATATAAATGGTATGGTGAAGTCAGAAATTTGATATCATCATTTTAATTTTTTTAATTTTCATACAAAATAAATTTTATAAAATCCGATTTGTATGGAAATTAAAATAATTAAAATGAAGATATCAATTTTCTGACTGCACCATACCATTTATATGACCATGTTAACATGGGCTAGTGTCGGCTCATATACCCATTTACCTAACATCCTGTATATATTCGTATTCTAACATTAGGCCTCACCAACCCGTCTGGCCATGGTGAGTGTAGTCCAAATCCTCCATTTGCCTCTGGTAAATTACGGGACTATTCCCACCTCTCGTTCCCACCACTGCAACTCCTGTGTAGCCAGGATCTACAGCTTGACCGCCACAAAAACCCAACCAATGAAGGTCAAGTTTGTCCCGGGGGAAAGTTAAACTGTCATTAGACCCGCAACGAAATTAATCAGAAGAACATAGGAGGAGTTCGAAATTAAGGTTCGACTTCCCTCCATTGCAAAGCGGATGAGAGGTGACAAACAAAGGTTTAAAACCTGAACCTAAACTCTGGTAAATTAGTGAGAATCGTGCTTATGCAGTATATGTAGACTTAATAATTATGACGATGATGGTTAAAAATTGTATCATATTAATCTTACTGTGCACTCCTATACTAGTGCTACTTACCTACACATACCTATCTATTGAAATAGCTCTAATATTTGTTCCAGTGCGATTGTCAGGTAGACGATTTTCACTTTCAGCATTTGTCTAAACGTAGTTTATGGCACATCATAAGCACTAAAGTTAATACTACAGACACGTTTTAAATTTTTATTATTATTATAACCTGACGAATTTGGGTAATCCAGCGCAATCTGCGTCGTTATTAAGGCAAAAAATAGAGCAATAAAATGAAATAAAGTCATAACTGACATGCACATATCGCATGTCAGTCACAAACCCAGTTTTTAGGGTTCCATACACAAAGTGTGCCAACGTCTTACGCCCGTATTCACAAACATTACTATGAGGTCTCACAGTGAGCGTGGACGCACAGGATGACACATGAACCAATCACAGAGATCTATTCAACGCTGTGAGGCCGATTTGCTGCTTCACTTAAGCAAGCATCGTTTGTAAATACGGGCGTAATAAGCCCCTTCAAACTCTTGTGAGCGATTAGCGGTTTTTTATACAAAGTATTGCCTTCCTTTTACTGATGCGCTGTGTGTGGGATTTCCTCATACAATCGATTGTTTGCTTGCTACAAAGTAAATGAATCGGTACTTATACTCAAGTGTTACTAAATGGGAGAGACGGGGGATTCCCTATAATTGTGATTCCCAATCGATTCTGAGTACGTTTCAGATTAATATGTAGGTACATTGTCATAAATGAAAACCTTTGTCTCTTATATAATAATACCTACATAAACTTTAACCACGCAATAAATAATGGCAGTCTTTAGTTCAACATTATTATAGTGTGAAGATATAAAATTACCATAAAGCTATTTAGAAGTGGTCTTCCCCGTATAGTAGATAGCCTTGGGTCCTTACTTTACGCCATAATAAACTAAGAATACCCGCCTATTACATATTTAGTATCAGTATGAACAAGTATGAAAGTAAGCACGTTACACCGATTTGGTATCGGTCGATTCCTCTAAAAAAGAAGCTGGCCAAATTATCGGCCCATAAAAATTTATTCATTAAAAAAATATTGAGTCTATACAGACTCAATATTTTTTTAATGAATGTTGCTGTCCGTAGCTGTCCGTAAATGGCGGGCCTTAGAGTCCCCGCATATACATGCGGGCTCTAAGGCCCGCCATTTACGGACAGCTTGAAGCAGCTAGTATCGACATCTTCAAGCTGAGACTGTATAGCAAACTAACTGTAGTTTATTTGCTATACAGTTAGTTTAGTTAGTTAGTTAGTTTAGTTTATTAGTAGTATTCTACATACATACTGAACAGCTTGAGCAGCAGTGACTGCTTCAGGCAGTTGTCAACACGGTGAATTTTCATTGTGACTATGACTGTAACAGCGGTCCGCGTATGTTGATCACTATAGTTATGTATCGTTTCATCCACGAAGACGCGCCCCACCATTCTTTCTTCCGCTAATGTTTGAGTGTTATCGGTACACGCTAAATTATCCATGCACACTACAATAATGACGCTCGGATTGCTCGGATCAAACTCCCCGCCGCGCTTCCCTCGGCCAAAAATTGGTGGGGCGCGTCTTCGTGCATGAAACAATCTATAACTGCTCGAGCTGTCCTTGTAAGATGGGCCTTAGATAAAAATCGTAGGTTAAACAAAAATTTAACTGGCACCTCTGTGGTAGGTCTCGGCTTTCATTGACTGTAACCTAATAGTTTCAAGTTTGTTTATATTTAATTGTGATAAGCTTTAGATGGCAAATCTGACCTTAAACTTGCTCTCTTTATGGCTTTTGTCTCAGATAGCCGCCAGTGTTTATAATAACATAATAAAAAGATTGGACGATTTGCTGAATAGTGTAATTCAGGCGTTAAATGGCCCAGACAGTTTTATGGTCTGACTTATGTTATTTAATTACCAAAATGGGGTTCTATGTATTTACATATTCAGTTAGGTAACCCGACTTTCGTGCTGACTTGATTTTCATAAATGGTTTTCTAAATAAATAAATAATATCCTTGGACATTATTTTTACACTACGCTTCAAGTCCCAAACTAAGCAAAGCTTGTACTATGGGTACTATAAATATAACATAAATAAACCTCTTTCTCGCGCAGTCGGGTAAAAAGTAGTAGATTTTGAAATATCATTGCTCAATGGTTATGAACTCTACCCTACTACGTTATTTTCAATTCCCACTCAAAACAAATAAGTCCATAAGTGGGTTTATTCCTTGGTTTCCATAATTATTATGGCTAACAGGGCAAATCCGATAATATCCGATGATATTTGTTTTAGAGAGTAATATTAATTCAATATGCGATAACCTTTTTAATGACAGACTTTTTGTAGGGTACCTGAATAGTTTAAGAAATCCATCTTTATGTTTCTTATAACTTGTTTATTAAAGGTCTGCTCCTTCCCCAGGTAATCTTGACATGTGTCTCGCGTCTCGGCTGTCGACGCAAGCCAACCTGGGCAACATGGAATCAACCAGGGAAGTCATGTCCATGGTCATCGGGAACATATCACTGGTCCAGGTGAGAAGTACACAATGTTCTTCTGATAATTTCGTTGCGGGTCCAATGATAGTTTAACTTTCCCCCGGGACACACTTGATCTTCACTGGTTGGGTTTTTATTTTCGGTCAAGCTGTAGATCCTGGCTACACAGGAGTTGCAGCGGTGGGAACGAGAGGTGGGAATAGTCCGTGGTCCGGGTAAGCATCAGTAATACCAGTTGAGCCTCTTAAGTTGTCATTTGATTCATTATTATCAGGTCACCCTCTCTAATGTACCAGAATCAAATGCGACAAAATGCAAAAAAGGCGAAAGGATCGGAGTAATGTCTAAAGTCTTGAGATCCTAAGAAACGCGGGTTCGAACCCCACTGCCGCTCGACTGTTGTGGTGAACGCACTTGTAACATAAGCATATTTTGCTTGTCACAAGGGGCATTATTGTTAATTTGTTTGAGGGAGGCCTATGTTCAGCAGTGGACGTCATGTGGCTGAAATGATGATGATGAAGGGGCTTTTATTCAATTTAGACCAAGATTTGAATCATAAAAAGGTAGCCCTTAATCTTGAAATGTCTCCTGGATTCCACTATGGATTTGGTTTTATTGTCGATCAAGCTGTAGATCTTAGCTACACAGGAGTTGCAGCGGTGGGAACGAGAGCTAGAAAAGCCCCATTTACCAAACTTTTGGAATATGTTTTCCTAACGCAGACAATCCTTTTTTTATCCACAACGAGGAAACTCTTGGCCTCTATCTCACCTCATATTTTACTTCACCAGGTGCAAGCGATAGTAGCGTCATCCGTGGTGTCGGTCTTCGCGATAGTGGTCAACTCCATCACGGAGCGGGGCATCCACGGGCCGTACGTACTGCTCATCACGGCGTCCGCCATCTTTACTGCCACCACCACCTGCTTTGTGCTTGGTAAGTATTGGAATGATCAAAATGTTGATTATTTGTGTTATTTTTGACTTGACTAGAACATCTTCTACCTCTCTTCCAATTTTTGTTTTATTCTTGAAGCTAAGTAGCACAGCCTCGTGCTTATTTTGAGCTAACTTGTAATTACACAGAATAGGACAAAACCAATAATTAAGTGGATAAAATCCGCACTAACAGTATCTAGTGAATGAGAGTTTACGCGTATGAAAAATCCACCAGATGGCAATACGTAGACGCGAGGTCCAAATGCTGCATGATTGGTTATTTTTGACATGACATTGACAGATATGTCAAAATCCACCAATCACGCAGCAGTCAGACCCCACATCCACGTCCCGCCATCTAGCGGATCTTTCATACGCGAAAACCCTCATTGAGTAGCCTACTTAATACTATCTTTGATGGCAAATTGAAGTAAGTACGAATTTGAAGACGTTTGAATCTTTTAAATCTTTGGTACCAATAAATAAGTTTGTAAAATGACAGATTAATTTAGATTCTCTAGATTTTGATTGCTTAACAAAATTGCCAGTTTCTAGCGTAACGTGCACAGTAACGATCGTGCGTGTAGGTCAAATCTTCCATTTGCCAAGAGAGCGTACTCTTGCAATAGAGGCTAAATGAGTTGATGATGATAATGCTGTCTACAAAAACGTTGATGATGATGACTAGAATATCTTCTATCTCTCTTCCAGACTTCGTGATGGTGATGGTGATCTACGGCTCTCACAAGTTCAAGGTGAACCCTGACAACGTGGCGACGCCTCTAGCGGCTTCCATCGGAGACATCGTCAGCAACTCCGTACTCGCTGTGACAGCCCAGTACATGTACGAGCAAATACGTGAGTATTGACTAGTATATCTTACTGGATTTAACTTTCCCCGGGACACCGGTAACTTTAACTTCGAACTCCTCTTATGTTCTTCTGATTAATTTCGTTGCGGGTCCAATAGCAGTTTAACTTTCCTCCGGCACAAACTTGGCCTTCACTGGTTGGGTTTTTATTGGCTGTCAAGCTGCAGATGGCTACACATGAGTTGCAGCGGTGGGAATGTGAAAAGGAATAGTCCCATATCTTACTGAGTTTGTTGTACTGGAACTAAAGGGTAGGTTCCAGTAGAGTAAAATAGGACTTCCCCCACTCTTTCTGTGGATGCGTAGGCGACTAAGGGAGAGAAATAACAAGATTAGTGCTCGTTTTCGCCATCAATCCCTAATTTTTATGTGACCCCTATGAAAACAAAATTCCTGTTATGTGTTACCGGGCATAGGCTTCTTACAAGCTTAGCCAGCTTGGGGTGTGTAAAGTGCTCCTGTAGTTTAGACCACTATGGCCTAATGATGATACATAAAATTGATGAAATCGATTATCGTGAACCATAAATTTAGGACCTTTATGGCTTTTGCTTATTGCAACTTCTCTCTTGATGGTCCTTAAAGCATTGAAAGAGTTTAGGTAATAAAACTATAGGTAACTGATCTACATGAATAAATCTGTCGGCGTTTTAGATGTTATAGTACATTGTTAGTTATTAGATTCAAATCTCTAGACGTGACTACACGGAGTTACAAAAATCTTGTATCCTAGAGACGATAAACGAAAACTGTCAATTTATCTGTCCCAATCGTGATGTCTGATGCAATTTTTTCTGTCTATCTGTCAAGAGCCCGATAATGGAGACAAATCTGGTGAGTGGTTATCAGAAACCTCTTAAAATATGTTGTAGATAGTAATTGACACATTTTACATGACATTGGTTGCATTCAGGTGTGAGATGAAGATGGTAGATTTGTATCTTAGAATGGATTCTGTGCAGTCTTGATTTGTATCATCAATACGTGACCCTTCAGAATCATACATTTTACATGACATTGGTTGCATTCATCTAGAGTCAGGTGTGAGATGAAGATAGTAGATTTGTATCTTAGAATGGATTCTGTGCAGTCTTGATTGGTATCATCAATACGTGACCCTTAAGAATTATACGTGTGATTCCATTATTAGATATTATAGATAAATAAATACTCTTGAGTGCATCCCGCATAATCACAAATAGAGAAACAGGAACGGTACAATTTAGGTATTTTCGAGACACTTCGTTTCGGTTTGGAACAAATTCAGACAAAATGTTAATCCACACACAAACAACTTAGCTTATCAAGATAATTTATAATTTATCAAGAGTTTTAATTAATATAGATCCTGATAACAAGATTAACTATCGAAAGATGTTTTGTTCTTACTAATAATAATTTATTTTGCCATGTGTAAGTGGTAAAACACGTGTAGAATAACTATATCATTTAAAAATCCGATAACTAAATATCAATTAAATTATATAATTTACTAATAGAACTAATCTAAGCCTATTCAATGAAATAATAATCTTGTATACGCTTAGTCAAATAGTAATTACTAGTCCAATTTAAGATTTATTTTACAAATCAATCCTGAGCGAATTTAGATAAAGTTTTCATCAGTTATCTGCCAGATACCTCTATCCGAGACTAGAATAATCAAAGTTATCAAGTTAATTCCAATAGGCAATCAGAGGCTTAGCAAGTGATGGAAGTATGAATCAAATGACACGTGTTAAATCTAAGAAAAAAATCAGTTTCATGTGCGAAAACAATGGTTAATAAATTAATAATATGATGATTGTTATCATACCTATCTTACATGTGTACACGTGCATCAAAAAAGTTATTGTCAGTTCGTCACACTTTTGTGATTAACATCACACTGAAAATAAATTCGATAAAAGCGCATTTAAGTAAGCATTAATTGTCACTAGACAATGATAATTATGAAGTGTGGCAATTTCCACATGCTGTTCTTTGTCTTGTAACTAGCTGACTCTATGACAAATCAGAAATAACCCATTAAAGTTATGTGCCTTACTTTACAATAAAGTTAGATACTTAGTAGTTCTTAGCTTCACGAACCCTTTGTGCATGCGATGCAACAGAACCAAAGGCACTTCATTATCATCATCATCATTTTAGCCATTGGACGTCCGCTGCTGAACATAGGCCTAACCCAATGATTTCCACAATGGGGCGGCCTGCTTCAAGCGCCTTTCTGCTACTTTTATGAGGTCGTCGGTCCACCTTGTGGACGTCCTACGTGGCGTTTTCCGGTATGTGACCTCCACTCCACACCCTGCTGCTCCATCGGCCGTCAGTTCTGCGACCTAAGGGAACTTAGCGATTTTCAAAATTACCCACAGTTTCTCTGGTCAGTTTCAGCCTCTGGTCGATTATATTCAACATCTTATTATTTAAATTTCTATTTAGGCAGTAGATATCAATAGCTATACTTTGATTTTCATTTAGTGGTAATTTTATCTCGTTTCATTCAAGAATTTAGATATCACTGAGATTTTGAGATACTGTAAATCTAATCGGAAACCTACGTCAATGGCATTTATCATGATTACTAGGCATTGACGTATTTAATTGTAATAATAATACATTTATCATAGAAGTCAAAATTAATTCAGTGATTAATGAAATTAGAAGTATTGTGTATATGATAAGATGGAACAATGGAGAATAAAAATATTATTTTATTTAAATTGAGCTGAAATTATTATATTTCAAATGGGGTACAAAGCCATGATTTGAGTACCATAGCTCACAGTAATTGACCTGACGTTGATTTTCCTTAGGATTTCCCTTAATCTTTATCTCACGCCGATCTTGTTTATTCTTCATGATGACAAGCAATACTTATTTATAGGATTCCACCTATCGTTTTTAGAACTTTATCTTTTAATCAGTAATCATCAAAATTAGTAGTGCATGATTTGCAAAATGTATTAGACAATAGGTATTGCTTTATAACGTGCGTTTTTATATCTAGTCTACCAATCAGTGAGCAATGTGACTATACCTTTCTATGTCTTTGTTTTAAGAAAGCCTGTAAACAATGCAAGTAACATAAGCTATGTTTATACTTTTAGTAGGTATAACACCGTCACAAAGTTTACCGTTTATATTTGACACTATTTTATTTTCTTCCGCAGAGGTCTCTCTATGGCAGCCTATCACGCTCATGTGCGTATACTACTGCCTCCTGCCTCTCTGGGTGTTCGTGGTATGGAAGAACAAATACACCAAGAAAGTCCTCACCACTGGATGGACTCCTGTCATATCAGCTCTCTTCATAAGCGGGTATGTCATTACTTTTAATTTAATCTTTTACCTTTAGCATATCAGGAAATAGAATACTGATCTTAGATCCAAATAAAAGCAGAATTATTTTACACTAAGTATTTGTTAATTAGTGTTAAGTGTCAAAACCATTAGCTTAACACCAGATAATGTGTTTTTAACGGCATCGAAATTGTTTGTGTGTCAACTTGAGGCTTTATAAATAACTTATGAATTACTCTGTTTTCCTCAGTATCGGAGGTATCGTACTCGACCAGGCCGTGGATAGGTACCGAGGGTACGAAGTCTTCCAGCCCATCGTCAACGGCATCGGAGGCAACCTGGTCTGCGTCCAGTCCTCGAGACTCGCCACGCACTTGCATCAGACCGCCATTCCTGGACAGCTGCCTGAAGGCACCAGGATCTTGGAGTGGCCGTGGAAGACGCTGTTCTTCGGAAGTAAGTACCGACTTAAAGTTTATGCTATTTAGTTGATTACAGATATAAATAAAAAATACTGATAATGAGACAGTCTTATGAGATAAGTGATACGACATTAAAAAGCTCTTAGAATTGCTAAAGATTAAAAGAAACTAAAACGTGATAANTCGTGATAACTTTCCTAGGGGATTTTATTTGCATACCTCTATTCTAAAAGCCATTTTTTTCTATAACTAATATTAAAATATAATTCTTCTTATTTTTCAGCCAAGGCTGCTAAAGTGGCTCGCATGTTGATCATCCTGGCCCTGTTCGGTCAGATCATCTTCATGACAGTAGCCGACTTCGTCTACCAAGGAGTGGTGACCATTCAAGTGGCGTTCGGTGTTACCTACCTCATGTGCTCTATGTTACAGGTAAGATACAAAATTTTATTGAATACTAGCTGACCCGGCGAACTTCGTACCGCCTTAGCGTAGAGATTTTCTTAATATTTTTTTCCGTAAGAACCATCCTTGGACTTCCACAAACATTAAAAAAAAAGAATTATCGAAATCGGTTCAGCCGTTCACACGTGATGCCGTGACAACGCGAAACGGGTTTCATTTTTATATATATAGATCTAATCTTTCTAAACCTTTACTTTGAAATTATCAGTATAATTAAAAGATAAATATTTTATGAATCATTAAATTAAAATGTAGCTACTAGGTATTAAAGATATTTCCTGTTATTTTCAGGTTATGGTGCTCTTATACCTGGCATACATGCTCATCCATCTGATGTGGCAGAAAAAGAAGGACCCTGACAATGCAGCTATCCCTTACCTCACTGCCTTAGGTGACCTGCTAGGATCAGTCTTCTTAGGTCTTGCCTTCGTCGTCCTGTCCATGTTCGGAATGGAATACGGTAACAACGTCCTGTGAGCTGTTCCAAAGTTTTATCCTACGCTGGATGTTATTATTTTCTTGTGATTCTTTTCTAAAGGATGGAGTTGGAAGATGCAAATTGGTGTCAACGTTGTCTGCACTCGTAGAATTGCACAAATCATTAAAAACGTTGATATGGCAGTAAATCTTTGGTTACGTAAATTCATATAACTCGAGAATTTTGAAAATATTCTCGTCAATACTTAGACTTGAACGTTGATACAATGGTTGCCATATCAACGACAGTTATTGTCTGCCAAATTTTTTATTGTTGCGATGTTTCTGTTAATACAGTAAATTATATTTCTTTTTAGATGCATGTAACGTATTTCACCAAATTAGCTTTACTTGGTTGTAGGTGTTTATTAGCCTTTTATTTGAGATAAAAGTTTACATTTTTATTAAGAAATACGTACCTTATGGAATTTTAACCTTGAGCAGTATTGAAAAATAATGAAATAGAAAGTATTAGTGTTTATGGTGCCAATGTGTTTACATGGATGACATGTTATTGTATAGTGCACAACTCAATTATCATCCTAGTTGTTATTCTTCCATGTTTTGAAGAAGAGCATTGTGCTTAGTGGTATCTCGCTCTCTCGCTCTGACCTTTTGTATTCTAAGAATGAGAGTAGCTCCGTCTGTGATATGTACCCAAAAATGTGATTTATTGCAATTACTATGTTTTAAAACTTGACACCATGTTTTTCGAGGAGGACAATAAATTAACCGTTGTGGGATATTTTGAATATTAATGACAAATTAAGTGGGGCGTGATATTTTATTCGACGATGCTATCTATTTATCGACTATGATGTTTTTCCAACTTTTAAATCTTTATTTCTATTCTTTCTATAACTTTTTATGTTAAGCCCTTTTTAAAGCATGTTATATTATTTTATTATGTGTTTATTTTAACTAAACTTCGAAAACTTAACGATTAGGATCAATTCAAATTGTCATATTTTTCGGTAGATTTTGTCTATGAGTAGTTAGCATATTCGAAGTGTAAATTGCAATTATCCTAGTAAATTGTAGATATCGTTGAGTGTAAATAGTTTTTGCGTAATATTAGCATGTAACCGCTATACCTGTGCCGTTTGCTAATGTGATATAGCAGTATATTATAGCTGTACTATATGGTTTCTGAATTTAATACTTACTGACTTAGAATAAAACTAGGTTTTTAGTTTTATTCTATTGTTTTTTTTTATTTGTTTACTTTAGACTCAAAATTATGAGATTGAAATCATTTTAACGAACTTTTTATTCGTTCATTTTACAATTCAGGAGCCAATAAAGTTACCTATAGACGTAGTATAGTTTAGAAAAAGAGTACAATAAAGCAATTACGTAGATAAGGTACGAGGCCTAAATTATGTAATTTATTATAGTAATGATTAATCTTCTAGTTTAAGAGAGCATTTTATGAGTGAATATTATTATTAAGGAAAATATATTGTGAGTGTGTGATGAGATCTCAGTATAAAAAATGAAATCAATAAAATAAAATTCTTCAAATTTGGACCTATCATTTTCATCTACCTCTATGGAAATTATATTTTTGCTGTTAGAAAAGTATTTCAAATACAAAATAGACGAAATCAATTGAAGTCTGTACAACACAGATGTAAAAGAATCGGTTAGAGACCAGTCCTTAACTTTTCTTTATTCCTGGTCATTTTACCTGAAAAGGAAAACTGAAAATTCTCCTTTTAATTTTCATTCCATAATTCGACAGGCACCTACCATAAAAATAAATTTAAATTTGAACCTTATCTGAAAAACCTAAGGCTGGGTTGCACCATCTTACTTTAACTTTGACAAACGTCAAAAATCTGTCAAATTCCATACAAAAAGCACCGGTTACGGTCAAAGTTAGGTGATGCAACTCAGCCTAAGGTTAAAAAGTCATGAAGAAAATTAGTTAACTATTTATTGCGCCTAAGGCCTAACAATATGTTGAAAAGAAATGATAGTAAGTTATGTGACGGTATGTTTAAAAGAAATGGTAGTAAGGTATACGATTTAATAATATCGGCTTGCTTGCTTGTTTCACAAAGTGTTGTAAGTCACAAACGTTATTAAGAACGTGTAAATTGGTCACGAGAAATATACAAGTGTGACGAATATTCATATAATGCTTTTCCCTGTGACGAGTTAACATCACATCTAAAATAACTTGTAGGTATTCTGGATTGGTGTAAAAATGTAAGTAGGTACCTACCCTGTCTCTTTGTATAATAATCGATTGTAAACGTGAGGGTTGATCTTAATTTCACAAAAAATATCTCTTATTTCGTGCACTAGCCCGTCAATGTTATGAAATCAAGAAAATGAAAACTATGACCAAATCATGAAAAGAAAAAAAAATGGGCCCATTTTTTTTTTTTTTTTTTTTTAAAAAGATTATTAGTAATTTGTTATTACACAAATTACTAATATTCCCGTTAGCCCCTCGTACTAAGCTAAATATGCTTGTGTCACGAGTGAGCTCACCACAATAGTCGAGCGGCGGCGGGGACCGAACCCGCGTTCCCCGGATCACGAGTCGGCCAGTCCGACCCCTTCACCGTTCGGCTATAGTGGCTATAAAGCCATTATAGCCCTATAACTACAAAATTTCAAACATGTCACTATAAGTGACTCANGCGAGTATGTTCGATGCATCTGTATTATTGTATAAAATTGCACTGTAGTGTAGGTAGCATTTGCATTTTTTATTTTTTGCGTAGTTACACATTATTTAGCAGATGCAGTGCTTTTCTTTAAGTGATGGGGCACTTATACATGTAATTTTGGTTATGTATTTTAAATTTTAATAGTGTACTTATTGTTGAAAAGCCAAAATAAATAAATAAATAAATAAATAAACTTTGACAAACGTCAAAAATCTGTCAAATTCCATACAAAAAGCACCGGTTACGGTCAAAGTTAGGTGTTGCAACTCAGCCTAAGGTTAAAAAGTCATGAAGAAAATTAGTTAACTATTTATTGCGCCTAAGGCCTAACAATATGTTGAAAAGAAATGATAGTAAGTTATGTGACGGTAGATGTTCAAAAGAAATGGTAGTGAGGTATACGATTTTATAATATCGGATTGCTTGCTTGTTTCAGAAAGTTAAAGTGTTGTAAGTCACAAACGTTATGAAGAACGTGTTTAAATTGGTTACGAGAAATATAATATAAAGTGTGACGAATATTCATATGCTTTTCCGTTTGACGAGTCAACTGTCATATCTAAAGTAACCTCTATTCTGGATTGGTGTAAAAATGTAAGTACCTGCACCTGCCACTTTGTATTATCGATTATAAAACGTTGCGGTTGATCTTAATTTTACAAAAAAAAAATCACCTTATTTCGTGCACCAGCCCGTCAATGTTATGAAATCAAGAAAATGAAAACTATGACCAAAATTAAATCATGAAAGAGAAAAAATGGGCCCATTATAGCCCTATAACTACAAAATTTCAAACATGTCACTAAAAGTGACTCAAATATTATGAATTAGGGTATATTTTTGAATGAATGATGTGATATTATCCTACAATCTTATGTATAAATAATTGTTATGTAGTAAGTAATTTTGATGCTGTTGATAGTTTTGTAGAACACCAATTAAAGTAATTCAATCTTATTATTAAGCTTAGTATAAATTAATAATCAAATTCGCTGAAAAATATAGGTAATTACCAAATAATTAATAAATATAAGATTTTTATGTCTAATTAATTTAAGAAAAAATAACTGGTATTAGGGCGAGCCCACACGATGCGGAATGCACATCAATAACTTTTTGTGTAAAAGAATNAGAAGAATAAGAAACGCAAATAGTAGAATATAGTATGTCGAGTTTATACGCTAATTAAAATTCAAGAATAGGGCTCTACATCACGTGTCTAGATCTAGGTAAAAATAACTCTAAACCTAACTAAAGTAAAGTTCTTGACGACCCTTTATATTATAAAATGTTATTATCGGTGAAAATGATACAGGCGCAGGAGTGCAACGCATCATGTGGCCTTCGCCTTAAATTGAAAGACGTCCCTGAGTTTGGTTAGGGAAGTACCATACACCTCATTCGCTTCACGAATTGATTTTATATTAGTGACATTAGTAAAGCGAATGCACTGTGAGTAGGTATCCCATCCCTTAGGCCTAAGCAGACGGACTGCATTAGTATAATCTTAGTTTGTAGCGCCGCTGCGTGCAGTAGAGTTCAGTAATTTAGTTCAGAGTGTAAAGTGCTCCCTTAAGGGCTGCCTTTTTTTTACTGTATGACGTTCATAAGTGCCACTAGTGGTCTAAATTGAATAAAATATTTTTGATTTTTATTTTGATTTTGAGTCATATACTTTAAAGCACTCCACAGATTACAGAATTTTTGACGGCCGATAGTTTGCTCGGCCAGTTAATCAGTATAAATATGTATGGAAGTACGCACTTAACATCATGGTAAGTCACTTCCTCATACGAATTGAAAGCCGAGCTAACTATCGGTCGACCAAAAGTGTGTAATTTGCCGGGTGTCAAAGAAGGCTGGCTATCCAATTCAGGGATGTTATGGATATCCGTAACCGTAACCGAAACTTTCGTATATCCGAAATAAAAAAATATCCGTAACCGTAACCGATTCAAAAGTTTCGGATAGTTTCGGATGTAGGCAGAGTCAAGCATACAATGTCCTTACGCTGATTTATTGATTGGATTTGGAAGTACATGAGTTTTTTCCCATAAGTTAAAAGCTTTTTTGTGAGACCAAAAGAAGGTGACAGATGCCAAAGAAATCTCTTCTGCACCCATTTTATTCGTAAGGCATGAACTGTGTTGGACAACTATTGCAATTTGCATTCTACTTATAGCATAGATATCCGTAACCCTAACCGAAACTTTCGGATATCCGAAATAAAAAAATATCCGTAACCGTAACTGAAACCAGTATAATATTATTCCAATATCCGTAACTGTATCCATAACCGAAACTACATATCCATAACATCCCTTATCCAAATGCAGTAAGTCTGTCGAGGCCTTTTTAGAACGTTTTGGAATATTCCTTTTCATTAGTCAAATAACTAGACTAGCCTTATAGACACTAGGCATTTGAGCTAGCGAAAACTTGTGGTGTAACGATTCGATCGTAGTATATTTTTTGTAATTACGCTGTCCAAATTTGTACTTATTTATATCTTATGTATTAGACGTATACATGGTTTTATATAAATTGAAATTCGATTATTGTAAAAATAAATAAAGTTACTCGTCCTAATTTCGTCACACACATCACAGTAAGAAATATCAAATAAATAATCATTTTAAAACCAGTGCCATGTCATTTACTAACATTTTATTACCGAAAGAAACAAGATTAATAATTAAATAAACAGCGAAAATGTATTATTTTTAAGTGCATTGTCAAGTAATCCAAATAATTGTCGTTGTGATCCAAGCATACTATTTAACTGTAAGTTGTACATTTTTAATTGAAAATAAACGGAACTACGGAATTTTAGTATTTTTATTAACATTTCGCTCCATTAAAGCCCTTCCATCTCAAACATAAAAGTGATAACTAATTTTTTAGTAAAACTAGGTCACTTTGTACTTACCTACAAATAGGTAACACTAACATTGGACCCTCGCGGAATTCGAACCCGCAAACGATGATAGAGCGGAGTGGGCTGGTAGTGCGCCGCCTCTGTGGTCTAGTGGTAAGACTACCTACTTCAGACGCAGAGGTCCCGGGTTCGATTCAGTGGGGTCAGAATTTTCTGTTCGGTTTGGTTGGTGGTAGGGCTTGCTCTAAGTCCGCCTGGTTTTAAGCTACCACCATCTTACCTAAGTCTGTCGCCATAACAACAATGTTAAAACAGTATTGTTGTGTTCCAGCAGTTAGAGGTAAGATAGCCAGTTCCTCTGTGGTTGAGGATTCCGAGTGAAACTCGCTTCCATCTTCGGCCTGATCATCACTTACCATCAGGTGAGAAACAGGCCAAGAGCTTTCTCATTGAGGATAAAAAAAAAGTGTGCGAGCAGGTAATAAATAAAACAATAAATATACACAAAAAATATGCCAATATCTACTTGTATACTAGATTCTAAGAACAGAAAATGGAAAATAAATTTTATTGAAAACGTATTTACTGGTAACATTACGTCTTCTTATTTATCACTTATTCAGTATCAAAAGATGGCAGCACTAGTTTTCAGTTTTCCGCAACGAATTTATCTGAGAAAAACATTTAGTTATTAAAACTGCCACAAGATGGCAATACGATACCGAAATTGATCTAGTGTTGATCGTAAAATTTTAAGTGTTGCCAAATTGATATAATATTTAAAAAGTTTATAAGTTTTGCAAAAATACAATACAATTACCTACCTACTTACGCAAAAAGAAACACATAGTATCAAAATAAATGTCGCCAGTATTCAAATCTGACGTGAGCTTTCAGGCAGTTTCCGCTTTCCACCGCTAGAGGCGCTAGTGGTTGCATTCCAATGATTTTTAATGTCAACT